AGGTGTTTTAAATCTTTCTCCGGCCTTTTAGGCACCTCCATATGGGAGGTAGTGAATGCCCCACTCATCGCATTCACCCGTGATTGCATCCATTTTTAATCTTTCTCCGGCCTTTTAGGCACCTTCTATAAGAAGGTGGTGAATGCCCCACTCATCGCATTCACCCGTGATTGCATCCTGAGTTCGTTGCTTTTTTTGCTTCATATATATCGGTGCCAATTACTATGTTTTGTGTGTGTGTCTGTGTTTGCTTGCATACTAAATGCTACCTTGATTCTCCCAGTTAATCGAAATTTAATTATCGCTTCGTGAATTTTTTGATTATTTTAGGAAAGATCCATCTATTTGTTAATGTTAAATGTTATTTTTCTCTGAAGAAAAATGAATGAAGATATCATACAATCGATCCAAAGAAATGTTTTTCCTTTATGTTCATATTTAAAACAGCTTTTTGTGTGTCTAATTGCTTGCTCACAAAGATCGAAACCTTATTCTCTCACTTTAGTGTATTAGATAAAGGTTTATTGTGCGTTTGCATAGTAGATGCTTCGTTGATACTCCCAGTTAATCGAAATTTAATTTTGCTTCGTGATTATATTAGGAAAGATCTGTCTACTTGGTAATATTAAATATTATCTTTCTCTGAAAGACAACAAAAAAGAAAGATTCCCGACAAGAATTCCTCAACATTTACTATGGTGGGGAAATCTCAACTCGCCAATCACGTGAATTGTTTCAATTTGCGTATACAATGTAATATAACATATTATATAATGCAGCCAATGATATAGCAGGCATTAAGAAATGATATGTAACATTTCATGTCATATAATGCAATCAATAATGTAGCAAAATGCGTATAATTTTTAAAAGTTAGCATAAATGGGTGTTTCTTAAAACGGTTAGGCGTAATTAATTTTTTTAGGGGCTTAGACCAAACATTAAACCAATAAAAATTATTCACGTGTGGTGTATTATTGTAATTGACCAATAAAACAAGTTTCACGTGATAAACAATCACATGATATGTTTCAATTTTGACCAAACCATATAATAAGTACCCAATTTAAAATGCTTATAACTTTTTATTTAAAACTTAAATTAAAATTCTGGCCAGTAGTTCAATAGTACATATCTTAAACAATATTATTACCAGTTTGTTTTTTTAAAATTCGATTTATTAAAGGCTCCAATAGTCTTTAAATATTATGTAATTTATTGGCGAGTTAAGATTTCCCGCACCTTATGAAAGATAACAAAAAAGAAAGATTCCCGACAAGAATTCCTCTCGAGTGCATGTATATGATGTCGTGAGATTTTCCTAAAATCGAGTGACATAGTGACATCACCGATATCGATACATCGATCCAAACAATACACAAATCAAGTGACATCGATATATCGATCTAAACAATACACACTTGCACTTGGCGTACTATTATTATCCAACGGTCAGGTTGCTTTCTATGTAAATTGATCCAAAACCTCCTTTTGCAAGATATTAAATGTTGGTAAATCTTTCAAAAGGAATCCATTCGAATAATTCATTATCTTTATTAAATTGTCGATCGCTAGATTATTCATCGTTATAAATTTGCTTGTGCGATTCCATCACTATCGAATATCATTTGTAACTGGGTTTTGAGCTATTCTGTAATCAAATAATATCGTCGACATAATCACATAGCATTTAAACTCAGTTTGAATTTATTTTTGACAAATTCGGTAACGGTCGAAATCCAGAACGTTTATAATCGAAATCCCAATGATTCAATTCACGTGATTTTAACATCATTTGATTCGTTTAGAATCAAATGATAATTATATGCAATCTGTAAAGTGCTTCTTCGCTGGGTGGACAAATAAGTTGCAATAAATATAAAATTTTCAAAATCACGCACAAAACAAAAACATCCCGGATAAGGAGAAAAGGGAATTCCAAATTTGGTAATCATTAAATCGTTAACGTTAAATTTATGCTATTTTTAGTTTAAATTAATATTCACATGTTGGTTTCTTTGACATATTTGGATTTTAAAATCTACATTGAATAATTATACGGTCAACACCCCATGATGCACATCCATAAAATGCATGCTATGTCTTATTCCCAAACTTGGGGATTTAGAAATAAATGCACACCCGCCATATTCTACATTGCACGGTTTTTCTAAACACTCCCTTCAATACACGCTTGTGACTTTCATGTGATTTGGTGTAATCCAATCATAATGCGAATAATAACAGTTAAGAATTTATTTTCGTTAAACGATGATGCAAAACTTTACGGCAGTAGATATTATCGGTAACATTTAAATCCTGACAAACACAATTTCGATCGTTCATAAGTCCGACAAACGAAATCGACATCCCGAATGAACGAAAACCCGAAATCGTGATAATTTTTATTCCATGAATCTGTGATGCAATGCTTAATCGCATTAAATATTGCGCCAATACTGAATTTTTTTAAAAGATTATCATTTCTAAATAAGGTATTACATTGATATGCAAGAAAACAATCATGTAGTTTTACATGATGAAATTCAACCAATCAAAAATAATACACGTGATATTCAGGCTAACTACAAATATTCCAAAGTATTTGATGTGGTGCATATACTTTCGAGATTTCGTTCATTCGGGATAACGGATTTCACTATCGCTATTGATAATTTTTTTTTATTATTTACATATTAATGATGTGTTTTAATTAACTAATATCACGTAAATTCTCCACCTATAAAAGCATCTTTCCGTAAATACACGTTCCCAAGGGCGGGGTTGACTGTAGTCGATAGCATAAATAAACAAATCTATTTATTCCTCTAACGTGGCAATATGAAAGTTTCTTTCTCGAGCATATGCAAAATCCCCTTGAATGGTGGATAAATCCAATAAATGTCTTATATTAAATTAAAAACCAGTTTCGATAAACTTTTTTGCGACAATATTAATGTAACTTTTTCACTTCTTGCAGCATTGTATTTAACAGTCGCAATAATATCATCCAAAAATGGTAAGAAAGATCTTTTTCCGATCAAAATTGAATTTTAAACACAATGGAAGAATGCGTGCATTTAATTTTCTGCCTGGCGCATGTTTTTATCATCTTAAATGGATTATATGATGATTGGACAAGCGTCATTGTTATCTATATTATTTGTTCATTGTTTTGCATATAAAATTAAAAAAATGATTGGATGATGTAATGAAAAGAGGCAGGTGTCCTATAACAACAAAATTTCTTATTCTATTGAAAGATTCATGATTTCTAATTATAGAAAACAAATCTAATAATTCATTAGTAGAAGCAAATGAGCAGCTGAATGTTGCTTACTAACAATATCAAGGTTTTTGTATTTGTCTTGCTGGTAAAACATAGTAAAAAAGAACGGCCGGTAATGGCCTAGTGTCATTGAGTGAGAAGGTTGTACAGATATGTTCGAGTAAAAGATCAGACAGTGTAACAAACCCTGCTAATTTTAAAAACGGTAAACAATGCGTTGTCGGGCCATGCTTTGCATATGGTTAGTTGACCATGTTAAAATTTAATATAATATGTGCGTGTATGCGCATATCCATGATTTTTTTTCCTTTGGTTTTTCTTTACCCAATTTTTTCAATTTCGTTAAATAATTTAATTATTCTTTCTTTTCCATTTACTTCTCTCGCAAAATCCTTCATAAATACATCATTACCATCCATTAGCATCAAGAAGAATAGCTGCCAGACAGCTGTTGTACGATCCTTTTTCTCTGTCGTTTTTTGTTGGATGTTTCTCAGAGTTCTTTTTGGTAGCGCCAAATTGAATTCTTAACGCTTACTTCACAACAATTGAGAAGTTTATATCCATGCGAAAATAATACAAATTTTTAGATCCTTTTGTAAATTAAAAAAGTATTTAGTCTTATCGAAAAAAGACTTGTAAATATTAAACTGAAAGATGGAGGTAGATTTAGATCAGTCGGATAATTCCTTGTCCGATAATAATAACAATAATAATAATAATAATAGTAATAGTAATAGTAATAGTAATAGTAATAGCAATGGTATAATTGATCAACGGGAAGAGAAAATATCAAGCGAAAACCTAGTCCCAACAAAATGGCGAATATTAATTTATTCAATATTAGCAATGATAACTTTTCTTTATCTAACAATCACAATAATTTTATTCTACATCCGACGGAAACACATAACGGGCATTAGACATCGACCATTGCGCCTAAACATACTAAACACTGTTGCGGTTATCATGCTGTGCGTGATGTTCTGTTTAAGAACCGGATTCTGGCCGAATGAATATCCATGCTTTTTGATTCATTGGCCAGCATATATTGGATTCAGTCTATGGTGCACGACACTTTTCTGTCGTGTTTTATCTTTTGCTTGGGTGGCGCGCTTTAATTTGGCAAAATTAAGAATGAGTAAAGCGTATCCGGAGAGAAATTATAGTACTTATTCTTTAGGAGGTGCTGCGACTTCAACGGCACGGTTCGGAGGTGCTGCCACTCCAACAAAAATACGGTTCGGAGGTGTTAACACTCCAACAACACCACGGTTTAGAGATAATGTGAAATTGGAATTTTCGGAAAAAGGGAATGACGGTGTCAATGATGATGATAGTGTAATGGATAGATTCCGAAGATTAAAACATCGTGCTACGGATAAATGGTTGGCAAGATACATTTTATATCCGACAATGGGCGTGACCTTTCTACTTACTTTGGTGCTGCAAATCGTGTCACCAGAATTATCAATAAATCCAATTAATAAAGTGTGTTGGATAGGATACGAGTAAGTATTATAAATTATAAGTTTTCTTTTTCGAATTTAATTGAAGCTAAAGATAGATTTTTTTTATAGATCGATTCCATTGCTCGTTTTCCTCGGATTCTTCATCATTATTGTATGCCCAATACTTTGTTATCTCCTTTATGGAATTCGTGATGCTTATGGCGTGCGGAACGAACTAATAATCACAATAGTTGCTGGTGCAATGGCATATATCGGGTTTATTCTATTTGAAACAGTTTTAAATCGTTATATCCCATACTTTGGAAGCTATTTATTTGCATGGATTGTCCTTATAATGTGTCATACATTCTCAATCACAATACCTTTACTGAGAACTTTTAAGTTGAGACCGAAATCAATAATTACGGGTTTACGTACCTCGCGAGTAAATAGTCTTGAGAGTCGCAATTCAGAGATAATGACCAATTCGAGGAAATATGCACAGTTTATGGATGTTTTGGGAAATTCGCAACAGTTTGAAAAGTATAAAGGTAAATTTTGTTATGGTCCTTTTTCTGTATGTATATGTTTGATAAACTCAATTAAGTGATTTCTCTATTTGATAGAATGTGTAGCTGCATGTTTCTGCACCGAATTGATTCTTTTCCTGGAGGAATATCAATTTTTAAAACTTCGCGTTGCTCAATGTTGCGATCCAGATATAGATATGATAACGTCACAGCAAGACGATGAAGAATCAATCCAAGATGATGAAACAATTCAAGAACCTGAAGAAATACACGTTCGAAATTCAAACAGCAAAGAATATTTCATATTTTCAGAAACAAGAAATGTGACACGCCCTCCAACTCCACTTCCACCGTTACTTCTTTCTACACCGTGCACCATCTCGATTGGTAAATTTATACAATATTATTATTATTATTATTCGTGCCAATTTCATTAATGCAAATTGTTTATTTTACCAAATTTAATCACTAGTTGAAACAATTTCCGCTGCAAAATGGATTCCATTCCCAGTTCACGAGCTACGCGACGACTATTTAACGTTTTACGAAACCTTTTTCGACCAAAATTCTGATTTGGCAATAAATCTTCGCGGAAGTATCTTGACATCCGTTAAATTGATGATAGAAAATGATCAATTTGAAATTTCAATGTTCGAGAAGGCACGCGAGGAAGTTTTGGCACTGTTATATCGAAACACGTATGATCGATTTTTAAGAATGTATGGCGGAGGATCATCTGTTAGTTACGGACAAAATAAATAGACTTTCAATACATTCTTTATCCTGTACTATATTTATTACAAGTGTAAATTAAAGGTCTACGAAATGTAATTTTAGCATATAGAGAAGGGGGAGAGTAATAATATTATCTAATTTTTCTTTTTTATTTATTACCTTTATTCCGTCTATACTTTTTTGTATATTATGTTTTCCTATATAGAGAATATTCACGAGAAAAGTTTTCCTTTTTAGTAAAATGGGTAAAATTAGAAATGTATTTTAATATATATATATATCATCACATCTTTATACAATTTGGAGTGAACATACAATAAATATACAATAATTTATAAAAATCGGGCGTATATGTACGAAAATAAATAAATTATATACGAAACCAATGTTTTCAAAAAATCAATAAATATAACGGTGTTCGTTATTTAATCTCGTTATTAAACTGCTCAGTATTCGTTTCTACCTTAAAATATAGTATCCGTAGGTGTTGGTAACTTAACCTCGTTATTCCTAATCTCCCTATTCCTAATCTCGTCACTATACTGTTCAGTATTCGTTCCTGCCCTAAAATACGTTGAATCTAATACTTTTTGAATTGTCGGACGCTCAGCTGGATTCCAGTCCAACATTTTCAATGTGAGCTTACGCGCCTGTTCATCAGAAAAATCACCACGTAAATGCTCAAAAGTTGTCAGGTTTTTCAGATCGTTAAAATCATCATAGATGGTATTCTTTGTGTGGAGGAAATAAATGATGGCGCCCAAACTAAAAATGTCTTGTGCATGACTAACTCTTAAATCTGTGAGCTCTGTGTGCAGCACCTCCGGTGCAGTGTACCCACGTGAGCATAAGGGACTAACTCTATCATCACCTTCATCCGATAGAAGGTAATCACCTAAATTAAATTTTCTATATGTTAAAAATTTTACTTTTTAAAGAAAATTTACAAAAATTTCTAAACTTACCAAATTTTTTCGCACTTTCAAAGTCACACAGACGTACCTTGTATATGTCTGTGTGTTTGCAAATGATGTTTCCGGGCTTTAGGTCAAGATGCGCAATTTCTTTTTCATGACAATATTTAAGGGCATTAGAAATAGATGATAGAATGTGTTTGATCGAGATTGCGTCTCTGTATGTGGCGCAGTAGGATTAGAGTTAGGGAATGAAAAGCATTTAGATAATTCATTCTTTGTAATTACCTGAATCTGAAGTGATGAACATCCAAAGTTTCTCCCGCATAACTGGTAACTGACACAAATCCGCCCATGAGGTTACTTTGCTCCATGTCTTCCCATTTGACTACGGACTTGCTTTTCAGTAACCGGAGAAACTTGGTTTCAGTGTCCCATAAATTTCTGCGGGAGAAAACTTTGATGATAACTGGATTAGCGGTTATTATATGTTGTCCTTTATAAAGGACGTTCCTGTATCGACTCGAATTCTCGTTTAAGTGGGAATCCTCGTCATCGCCAATCGAATGTATTATTACGTACTTATTGCATACTATCTTCAATTCTTGTCGTTCTGGTATAGGCGGGCTTTGGCGAAAATCTTCGCTGGTAGATGTATGAGTCATCCGCCTACTTCCTGCGCGTGACAATGGATTTCTCATAGGAGGCTCGTCATCACTAAAATGCGACATGGGACTCGAAGGTGATGGATGAATAGTGCTCGGTCTACGAGGTTGATTTGGCAATTGCTGTGGACCAACTGAACCTAATAATCAATTGAAATAATATAGCTAACATAGAGACATATTTAAAAATAGGTTGATTAAGAAAAGAGAATTACTTTCGCCTCCTTCAATGTCTTCTGTTTTTTCTTTTTCGGGTACCGTTTGATTTAGCATTTGATTTGGCCTTTTTGGTAATGAAGTCTCTGCCAGTGTAAATTGGTGTACATTGTCAAGATTATTCGTCGCTCCTGAGGCTGAGGAAGATGATGATACTCCTGACATACGGTTTTGAGGTTGCGGTCTTGAATTCAAAACAGTGTCATAGTCATCTTGCGATACATCTTCTTCGATGATTTGTTGAAAAGTGCTGAATTCATGGAAGGATAGCGAGAACCTAATAGATTCCATCAAAATTGAATGTTAATTCATGCATCAAGACAATAAGTACAATTATACACTATTTTGTAGCCAAAAATACGGACTACAATTTTACTTAGAATCACCTGATGTAACCGGCGTCCAGACCACCTTCTGTAAATGTTAATTCGCCTGCTATAGTTGATCATGTTAGTAAATTAATTATTGTAAGTATATGGTAACGTAAGATTATAATTAAAAAAAACCATACTTTCTATTGGTCCTCCTTGCATCAATTTCTTCCAATTTGTTTCAGATCCGATTTCAAATCTTGTCTTAGCGAATTCATTCGTCTGTGAACCATATCGGCATTGAACAAGCAATACAAGTTTCTTCTTGTCTTTTGCTTGGAGGTCCATCGATATGGCATATTTACAGCTAGTATTCGAAGCTTTCCAGTACCTAAGAGTTAGTTGAAGGTATTTTTGGTCTTGTTCAATACAAATTAGAAATGCCAGGTGTTTTCGTAGTCCTCTGATGTTATGAAAGCATGTAAAGTAAAATATACGTACCGGAGCGTTGAATGTATTTTCGGCTTATTCAATACGAATTCGAGATGCCCGGTTTTTCGTAACCCTCTGCTGTTAGCATGAACAATGTAAAGTAAACGTGCATTATTACGAGCTACCTTGAGTAAATTATAATCAATCGTAAATTTGCGAACCACGATATCTTGTCCAATAATAACATGCCAATCTTGTCGCCTTCACGAGTTTCATCACTTAATTCTTCATCAGCATTATGCGGAGGTGACCCAGAAAGAAAATACATGTCGAAAACAATCTGTCCAACCGAGGTTTCATGCTTCATGACGTCCATTATTACTGCATAAAATCAGCCCAAAGCGTTAAACAAATAGAATATGAAATCAACGAAAGCGGAATGTAAAATTTTACCTCTGTTTTCGTGCTCTTTGTATAGCCGCAAATCTGCTTTAGCTTCACCAATAAGGGCTTCGTTCCCTCTACGTTTCATATCAAACACTCTGACTCGCAGGTCATCCTTAATTGGAGGATGTAATTCGTAAGTGAGGTGCTCGTTCCAAAGAGCTTTACCTCGTTCGTCACTACATATGAACGTTGGGTATGTTAATATGAAAAAATACCCATTTCAACAGTAACAATACAACATACATTTTTGATTCTGTCGTTGTTTTTGTAGAACCATTAGCGATTACTTCCAAATTAATTGCTCTAGCTTTATTACCAATAAATGGGAATTTGCTTTGTCTTTCACCTCTCTCAAGTAAACCACTGGGATATTAACAATTAAACGGATAAATCCAATGAATTTCTCAAGTTTGAATTGAATATAATTAATCTTAGTAATTTTTACCAGCGTATGTGTTTGATAAGTAAGACTCCTGGTCGTTTTTGGGGTGAAAGGCTGGTTGGTAAAGAAGAAACCGAAGATGGACCACTACTATTATAAGGAAGGGACATCTCTCGTAAGGACAAATAATTTAAAGGAAATTTTTCTTGACTAACTTATTTTGTCGTATCCAAAAAATTCTTATTATCGTTATTGAAAGAAAAAAGATAACGATAAGAATACGACTCGAATTGTTCACATGGAAACATACTGTCCTACTTATGTTACGAAGTACAGTCCGAAAATGGCAATATAAAGAAATACGTTATTTTGAGATACATGTCAGAGAAAGATCTTTAATAATTTTGTTTTTAGAGCAAAATAGTTTCTAAGTTTTTAAAACGAAAAAGATAAATTTTCATAAGTTAAGTGTCAATACTATTATATTACTGTCTTGTCGCTTAAAAAACTATCTTGTACTGTACTGAACATAATATATAAAATACAAAATACATATAAAATTAAAATAAACATAACAATTATACAATTATAAATGATGGTGATGTGCAACATACATGTATATATTAATATTTAAATTGCGTAAATGATCTATCGTGCTAATAATAAGGTCTTCCAGAAGCAACACTTAAATTATCACTAGTGGTAGTTGCATAACGAATTTGTTGTCCTAAAATTTCTTCTGGCTGAAAAGCTTTCGGTTCGCTGTTCTTTGGATCGACGGAAACTAATTTTGCATTGACGTGGTAATAAGCTTGTTCGCCCATCTCTGTCTCATCGAGTCCCGCGCTTTCGCTATTAATATCGGTACGTAATGATAGTCCGGGAGTTTTATCCATAAGGTATAAGATTATGTATGTGACACAGAATGAATACGCGAACCCGGCTATCGAATCTGATACTTGGAATCCAATTTGTTTCCAATTCCCGTCTAACCAACCACCATCAATTCTTGTCGTTTTATCCAAGAACGCGATTGATTTCTGAGCGAAGATGCCGGTTAAGATATTTCCTATCATGCCACCAACACAATGCACAGCAAAAACGTCTAACGCGTCATCAAAGTCAAAATAGTGTTTCAATTTGACAGCGTAATTGCATATTGAGCCACCGAAGAAGCCGAATACAACTGCCGCAGGCGTTCCAACATAACCTGAACCTGGAGTAATAGCCACCAATCCAGCAACCGTACCCGAACAAAAGCTCAACGCCGAGAATTTACGCTCTAATCGATAATCTAGTAGCATCCAGGTGAGACCGCCAACTGAGGCAGAAATATTTGTTACGGTATACGCCATCGCGGCACGAAGATTACCACTTAATGCAGATCCACCATTAAATCCGAACCAACCAAACCATAGTAAAGTTGTACCAAGTAAGATATGCGCAACATTATGGGGTTTGAATTCGTCAGTGCCGTGTCCGTGACGTTTACCGAGGATAATACAATAAGCGAGAGCAGCAGCACCCGATGAAATATGCACTGGAGTTCCACCTGCAAAGTCGAGTCCACCTAGATTAGCTGACCATCCGTTTGGATTCCAAATCCAACACGCGATAACGTCATAAACAAGTGTCGACCAAATAAAGATAAAAATCAATGTGGGCAAGATTCGTTGACGTTCAGCTCCTGAACCTATTGCTAAAGCCGGTGTAATTGCTGCAAACATGCATTGATAAATGGCAAACACTAAATCCGGGATTTTCCCACTCGCTATGGAAGGGTCACCTCTTACATTTATGAAGAATACATTGTCTAAATTTCCAACAAATTTACTTGCAGTTTTACTAAAAGCTAGACTAAATCCCCATATCCACCACTAATAAAATTTAGATGATTGTATTCAGCGTCTATTTTGTATGTATCGATTTTTTAAATTCAATTTTAATGATTGATACCTGAACAGAGACGACAGCCACTGACAACATACATAACATTATAAGTGATAATGCATTTTTACTTCTAGCCATTCCACTGTAAAAGTATCCTACGCCAGGCACCATAATCCATACTAATGCTGTTGACGTTAGTACGAAACCAACGTCACCGGCGTCAGGCGAAAAATCTGGCGCTGTCGTTGTGTTTGTTGTTGAGTCTGACATTTTTTTTTCGCAATAAAATAATTAAGTAAACAATGGGTTAAAAAGGATTAAATTACAAGGTAAACGATAGTGAATATGTAATGAATAATTATAAACAACGAGGATGAATGAAGATATTTTATTTTAAGGTATTGTAACTTTATAAATAATTATTACTCAGTACCCATTATTCATTCATAAATAGATACTGAAGCTTAGAAAGTCCGGTTTACACGTTGAATGAGTTCTCTAATGACTGACTTTGAAGGAACGAAAATCCGGAAATCCAAATTTTAATTATAGAAAAAGAAGTGGGAAAAAAACAACACACATAACTCTCACGCGCGCATATACACTACTGTTATGTATCAATATAATGCATTGGGAAAAGGATGAATCATTATATTTATAATTATACTTTTTTTCTATCGAATTTTGAAGTATATTTCTGGGAAGCCCGTCATTCGATCACGCGTCTTATTTAGGACAGGGAGATATGTCGTGCGACTTTTGAAATTTAGTATTTCTCAGAAAGGTTTATCTCTAATGCTACACTTTATTGTTTGTTGACTGATTATGTTGGTTATTTTAATTGCGTGACGTTTGCTAAACAAATGTTTCCAATCGCAATCAAACTAATCAAACGATTTGCTTGAGTTAAAATGAGCCAAATCGCTGGACGAAATAAATTTCATTTTAATGTTAAATTATTTTCGGCGAATTTTTTTTTTAGAAAACAAATCTTCAATTATTGAATACAATGGGGGTTTTTTGACATCTGCTAATCGGTTTATGATTGGTTATGTAATTCGACATGTGCTGTGTAAAGCTGCAACCTTATCATTACCATTATTATTTTTATCATTGTCACTATTTGTTAACACACACATTGCATTTTGCACTATCTTCAATGAATCGGTTGCCAAGAAATGGTTACAAATCATCCATTGATACATGTATTTCTATATCTATATCGATATCGATATCGATATCGATATGAATGATATCACCTAATCCATGTGACCTTTCCGATTTCGAAATCGCGTACCGGTAATACAGAACAAACGAACGAAGTAATACGATCGAATCGTTAAATCAAATAGCAAAAATTTGCTTTTACGATGATTGTACAGAGAATCAATCTATAAACTAACATTTTGTTTATGGTGGATCTTTTGTAGTGGTAGTGGGGAACAAATTTTTCAAAGAATTGAATCAAAATTGTATGTTTATTGCTAATAACCTAAACTTTTCCTTTTAGAAAATTGATCGTACCAAAAGCAACAAATTGGCTGAAACAGTGAAATCTCCACTTATGTTTTTTAATTATGTTGTGTAGTTATTTGAGGCTTATAACAATACCAATTTTCACACTTCTCATATAATACGAATTATTTATATGCTAATCCTAACTACGTATAAAATCATCTCTAACAAAAATTTACATAGTAAAGTGCCGATAAAAAACGCAGTATTTAATAGATCGAAGAATGATAAACAATTTTGCATTTTATTGGTGTATCGTGTAATTAAGAGGGATATATATATTCTTTTTAATTCACGCTCACAATAATAATACTAAGGATTTATCTCTTGTCACACGCTTTACACTTTTTAATGTGTGGTATGTCACTTCTTTATGTTTCGTGCTTGATATCGGATTTATTCCGTTGACAAGGATAGGCGTCAGATTCAAGAATCGGTGTTAGGAGAATTTTAAAATTATCAACATAAATTTCTAACGTTATATATCCTTATTCATATCGATATAATAGATCTATCTATGTTAAAAATATTGAGATGACATATCTAGAACATAAAAAACCTATTCTATAATGTGAATATAGATATCCAAATTTTTACAATATTATATTTTACAAATCATGTCTACTGGTTATATGAAAACTTTCATTATCTACCGATTTTAATTTCATTGTAAAGATGGATGGATTTCTCTTAAGCATATAGATGCGAGATTCTAGATAATGGTTGATCTTTTATTGGTTGTGTGGTTTCCATGGATAAATTTCGGGTAGGAGAGGATGAAGTAGGTGATGGCGGATGATGGTAGAATAGCAAAAGTTGTTAGATTTGCGGAAGAGACGCTATCACCACCACCGCTTTCCTCTGCTCAATTCCATGCTATTGGAACGAAACCAGCATTAGAATCACCGATTTTATTAAAAGCTGTCAAAGTTAAATCCAAATCTCCAAAACCACAATTAGGACAACTATCTTGTACTGTCACGGTGACCGATCCCAATGGTCCATGAACAATAATTTCTTCCCACAAAACGGGTTAACATTTGGATTTGATGGATGGCCTCCATTGTGGTTTATTTAACGCGCGTATAAAAATCGGAATCAGAATTTTCCTGTCCGCATGATCCTAACGATCGGATTGAATCCTCGTTTTTCAAGTGTAGTACATTTTACTGATAATAAATTTATGCTGGAAAACATATTGTTATTACAAGTAGGATTATTGATTTTTTCTTTAAATTAATCATTTTCTTGGTATGCACAGTAGCGGTTAAAAGTAGCCGACCCCTTATAACTTTTTAAACTTTTTAAAATAATTAAAATTACTGTATTAAAATTTATATATTTATATAAATGTAATAACAAAAATTTAATATAATTTAATAAACAATTATTGAAAATTAATTTTTAAATTTTGGTATTAAATTATTTTTTTATATACAGTACATATATAATATAATTTAATAAATTTTAATTTTAATTTCTCAATATCTTTCTTATTAAAATTATGTCAAATTTTTTGTTACTAATATAAAAAATTTTAAAATTTAATATATTAAATTTTAAGAAATTTTATTTTTTATTAATGTAAAAAATTGATTTTAAAATTCAGCTCTCATTTAATTTTTGTTATAATGATTATAAAGTATTAAAAAAACTCATAGGATTTAGATTTGTACTATATTATCTATGCTGAAAATTTCAAGACAATTAATCTTCAATTTAAAAAGCTACAGGGGGTTAGGATACTTTTGACCGCTACTGTACATGCACTGGAAAAACAAACGATTCAACCACGTCACTAAAACCAAATTTAATAATTTATTTACATGTGTTAAAGACGATGAAAATGCGCGTCACCAAAATTAGTGAAAAGTCAAACTTTATGTGTAAGAATTTGTTTTGTTCTTCACATACGTACTTAGCGCATGGAATTCTAATTTATTCTATTCTGGTTTTCTTATATGATAAAATTCCATTCGTAAAAGGTTTTTTGGGTTGTTAAGTTAATGCACAAGAAAGTTAAGCTTAATTTGTTGAAAAAACATGCACACAAAAATGTCTACAGCACTTACTCTTCTTAAAATGGATACGTTAAATGAATAAAACACAATAGAATCTAGCTTTTTATGCGTAAAAATATTAATAATTTTTCATCGTGAATTTGTTATATATACTCTATTAACACGTTCCACGGTGTGGGCTCATGTTGAGAGAAATACGACCACAACAACTGCCCCCAATGCCTATGTTGACTATGGAAGTAGATGAGATTTTTTTATAGTTCATAATTGTGGTGAAAACATAGCGATAGTATTCATGTACCACCACGTAAATTAAAATTCTCAAAACGTAATTTATTGTAAACTAACAAACAAGTCATCAATAACAGGAAATATATTTTTCGGAATAGAATAAAATGATTCAACGCTTATGAATGGTCCAGGTCTATTAGTGAAAATTTGACAAATATTTACTATTTACCTATATCCAAAGAATTTTATTAAAAATCTGACGTCCAAAATCCCGAAATACCAAAATCCTGAACCCGAATTCCTTTCATTAATCAAATTTTCATATCACACAACTCGTAACTAAGCAAGCTCTACTTTATTACTCATTATATGTGCTATATGGCGCTCAAAGCAGTTAATGCTTTCAGTGGTATACTGTTACCTCGCCGACCAGTCAGATTAAGACACACAGCTTAACACGTTTTCACTAAAATTGTAATATGTGGAAATAAAAATAATGAGTTCGCCAACTATGTGTGGCTGCAGATTAAGGGTATGAACAAAATTATTTGGAGTTGAAATTTCACTAATTAAAAATATTCATATAGATCATTTAATTTCTTTAGAATGGCAATATTAATATGGCATGTTTGTGATTGGAAATTTATTCTACAAGGAAATTTTTTTGCCTTTAATTAAAAAATAAATAAGTTCTATTTTAAGCAATCAAATATTTGAGTTCCTCCCCAGTAGTCTCCAGTAATCTCTGCTAAAATCGGAACTGGTTGTGTGTGTTTTATATGCTTTTTAAATGAATATTAAACGAAGCAATAAATAAATACAATTAACTTGACGAAAACAAAGAACTGGAAGTTGTGTGTTTTAACATTACCTGTTCCTATCCATTTTGGATCGGATAAAAAATATGAAACATTTTTAATTGTTTAATTTTTTTTATTGCGAATATATATATAACCAAAGTAAAAGAAAACAAATAAAGAGAAATCAACCTACTTTCAGATACCGTGGCATATTTCAATAATGTTTCACGTGGCTCCTCATCTAATGTGATGTTTAATACGTATAAGTATAAAGCACAAACACCCGTTCAGAAAAAAAGAAAACCAACCTCTTGTCATATCTCTTATCAAGTCTTTCATAATATGTTGCGTTAAACTGCTACCGATTTTCCCCTTTTACCAGGTCCACTAACAGGCAAATCTACAAAAAAAGCCCCCACCGCATTACATTCATAAAACCAATTAACATTCAAAAAAAATTTACCAGGTCTCTTGGAAGCAAGCAATCAGATCTTTACGAAGTTTCTCTCGTTTTCTTTTTGTCATTTTCGGTCTTTCATCTCGAAATAGAGCCAACGAGTGTGGCGAATGATCAGTCGATTGATCTCAAATTCATCAATCGCTCGTTTCTTTGGCTCTTTGACGACACAGAGTTTTGCTCCTCGAACGCTTACATTCGGATCGTAAAATACGTGAGCGGTTCCGTCAGCGCTTCCTGTAATGATCTTTTTATCATGGGAAAGAATTAAGAATTATGTAAGAAAGAGAAAAATGAGTATTCGATGCGAATTCATATCTGATTGATTCTAGAGTGCCATAATACTCGTATTACACTGGATTTTGTTATACCCGAATACTCACATCAAATCAATAAAATTTTCTTAAAACACTTGAGCAAAATTTTAATCTATTTCAACTTACTCATTGTCCGCACAATCTGTAGAGTCACGATCCATCATTACGAGCTTTCCGTAACCTTCCCCCTTTTTGACCGCAGTGCCTATTATTAACTATAATAAGTACTTTACAAGAAGAAAATAATATGGAAAATCTAAAAAAAGATCATTATTACAAGTTATTATTAGACGTTCATCCGGACTCGTATCGCGTTAGTTTCGGGAGTATAGCTTGGAAGATCACTCGCCACCGATACAACACTCTTTAAATTTCTCGTATCCCATACTAAAGAAAAATAATTATATATAAACACTCAAGAATTAAAAAAAATTATTTAGGTTAAAAGATAAAGAAACCTTTGACGGTATCGTCGTTGCCTCTGGTAACTATTGTCCAATTATTACGCGAAAATATTATTGAGGATGTTTCACTGTGTGGTGAATGTGCCTTTTCTATGGTCTATTGAAGCATTTATTAATGAGATTAATAATAATAATATGGTCCTTGCAAAAAGATTGATACATCAGATAAATATTAATAGATTATTTTTCAAAATAAAATTTTTAATTACCATATATCTCCGAATGTAAGCAACCAAAAAATGCAAGATTTTGGCAGGGCAAAGGGGGGTTTGCTTATATTTGAGTATAAATTTATTATGTTTAATATATAATATTTTCAGAACTTCAGGTCTTAAAAAGAGGTGGTTGCTTATACTTGGGGGTTGCTTATATTTGGAGATATATAGTATGTCTCATTTAATTAAGCTATTAGGTATTGGGATTTATTTAAATATAAAAATTTTTATTACAGTGTGTTAAAAAAACCATAATTTTTTGCACATGACAAAAATGTGTCTAGTATGCTCTATTTACAAGTAATTCATAATATGTAAAAAGCAAAATAAAGCTGACAATTAAGATTAAAGCTTAGCAAATTTATAAGTGCTATTATTGTGTGTATGCTTGAGATAATTGATAGTACAATATCCATTTCCAAGCAAGAAACTCAACATCAAGCTTTATTATAATTGTGGAATAATGACATATAAAATGCAAAAGAAATTCATGCTTGAACAGACATCTCACTTATAATAATTTATGATAACATAAGAAAGTTGAAGAAAACTGGAACAATAAAATATATAAGAGAGGATAGTTGGCCAAGAAAAATTAGTATACATACATTATGGACACTTGGACAATTTGTACACAGGAATTCATTACTTTTTACTAGAATACTTGTAATAAAATTATTTAAAATAAATGTTAATATATTTTATATTACTATTACATGATATATAGCTAATTATAATTACATAAAAAGTCTTTCAAAAACCATTTTAATACTAATTACCATCCATAAATAATAATGAATAGAATAGATCAATACTTATCTAAATAATAATTAAAGACTGCCCTTATTTTTAAATGAAATAGCCTTTCAGCTTTTCTAAAATATAATAAAATATTAATATAAGAGTGCTTATCAAATTTATACTATGCCAAAAGATAGAATAAAAGTTTTTACTTGAGATGGATTTTATATTAAAGATAAAATCAACTTATTCTATTTTCAATAAATAATATATATTAATTAAGATTATTAGAAAATATATTTTAGAAATTATAGAAATACTTGAAGATTATTAGTGATTCTAACAAAATAATAATCTGAAATATATTAGCAAAATTATTAAAGATTACTTAAAAAAGAACATTCCTAAAATTCTGAATTGGCTATTTAATAGTTCATATCTAAATTCAATCAAAAACTTATAGATAATTATAAAAAGAAATATTAAAAAGAGAATATCAAAAAATATTAGTGATTTAAAATAATTTATAATTAAAGAATGGAGTAATATTCTGAATAGTATTCTAATTAATCTTGTAGAATTGATATTTTGATATTGTTAACTTGTAATTGAGAGAAATAGAAAATATATTTATATAAGATTATTTTGTTAATGGTTGTAAATAAGATTAAAATATGATATAAATAAGTTTTAATTTTATAACTTATGATTGTTTTTATTATTTAAAAGTATTCAGATCTGAGACTAAAAGT